CCAACTCTCAGTCTGATTGGTTGAAGCATCAGTTTCGTTTTAAGCTACAGACGCCTGCCCCTCTGATCCTGAAGGCCTCGGGGCAGATTTCTGTGACCCCGGCAACACATGACGGCTGAGCTGTGATTGGATAAGAGCTCTGACATAAGCATGCTGCTATAGGCAGACTGCTGGGGTAAAAACTAAAAGATGAATGGGGTAATAAGACAACGTAGGCCAGTGGTTCTGATGGTTTAGGCCTTGCTGGCCCTGACGGACCACCGCTGACAGAAACATGATGTAGGTCATGATCAGTGCTGTTAGTCGGGCAGCGTGGCGTGAACCTGGTCCTGGAGGAGGTCTGGGACATGTGTTCATGTAGATCTGTGTGTAGCTTCCATATAAACTGTGTTTAGAGCAGAAGAACCTCCAGAGAGGCCATGAATCACTCTGAGCTGCAGACGTTAGAGGAGCTTTAGTCTGACCTGTTAGTGGTTTAGTGTGATGGAGGAAGGAGGTCCTCCTCCTCCTCCTCCTCCTCCTCCTGCAGCTGCTGCTCGGTTCAACTGGACCTGAGAGGCAGCAGACACCTGCTTCCTCCTCACAGCCTCCTTCCTCCTCCTCCTCCTCCTCCTCGTCCTGCCTCCTCTCTGAATCGGAGGAGGAGGACCGCTGGAGACGGGTAATTAACTCCTCAAAGAGCCAGCGCTTCGTCCAATTAGCAGCTGCGTGAGCCTGGCCAGCACATGCTGCTGCTGCACGGCGCTTTTTATCTCCATTAGAACATCAGAGGAACGTAATTAGAGCGTCATTTGTTCTGACTCTCCCTCAGATTGCTGCTCAGAAGAGGAACCTGAAGAACTACCACTACATCCTGAACAACCTGGTGAGTCCATCACACTGCAGCTCACCGACAGGAGGCCTTAGATGGAGGTCAGGGTACAAGAAAAGACCTTCAGGAGCAGCTGGATGTGTAGCTGCTCCTCAAACATCCAGAAACACAGAAACCTAGAAATACATCAGAGTAAAAATAATATTCATGTAGAAAGACAGAAACCAGTCAGCAAGAAGCACAGAAATACATCCACATATAGAAATAAATATGTGTTCATTGTAGAAACCAAAAATAATTAAATGAAAAATGTAATTATGCAGAAATGAATACCTTTTGAAATCTGAGAGAGAGAATCAAAGAGTTAAAACAGAGAGAACCAGAAATACAGGAACAGAAGAATGAAGCAAACAGAGGTGTGTAGCTTTAATAAACACGTAGAAATACATCAGTCAGAACAGAAATACACAAACAGGATCCACGTAGAAATACAGAAATACAGGAGCTCATTTAGAAACATATAATCAATACAGAGGCACACGTATCAATAAGTGTACCAACACAGAAATCAATCACAGTGATGATTAACAGGAACGATGACACATTAGTTACAGTCATGAAACAACA